GTGCCCTTGTGGGGGGCCATCACTCCTTCGTGTCCATCGTGTGCGGTATCGTGTGGGTATCCATCGTGTGCGGTATCCTTCCGCAATAAGGGCGGCGAGGCGCGACCGTTCGATGGCCCTGTCCAGGATGCCACGGTGGGCCAGCAGGTGCTCGAGCTGCGGTTGGGCCCAGAAGAGTATGTCGATGCCTTCCAGCACCTCCTGGATCTCTTCTTCCCCCCTGGGATCCCGTGGGGAAGTTGGGCCACCGCGGGGTAGAAGGCCTCCTTGAGGTCGTCGCAACTAATCATGACACGTTTGCCCTGGTGCAGGTTCCGCTCGGTGAATGGACGCGCCGCCGTCGCGACCATGCCCGCTCTGCGCTTGGGTCGGCCGCCAACCTGCGCGTCCTGAAGGGCCTGGGCCAGCACCGTGTTGAGCATCGGTGATCATGCTTCCCAATCACGTTGTGAAGTCGAGTTTCTCGGTCAGCTGTGGGTGGTCGGACGTCTCCTTTCCCTTTCGGAATCGCGACCAAGTCGCCGCCCTTGAATGCCAGGAGCCCTCTCACCTGGGTGGTCACCTTGGTCAGAAGTGGATGGAGTAGGGCTGCGACCTGCATTCGCAAGCCCATCTGGCCCTCCCTGCGCTCCAGCCCTGGCGGTCGCAATCTGAGACTGGCAGACGCCGATGGGGAATGGCCAACAGAAAGTCGAGCCCACCCGTGAATGGCCTGGCTTTGCTGTCCGAGTTGTGCTTGGCTGTCAGGGCTTCTGCGGAGGCCACCCTGCCCGCCTGCGCCTTCGCGAAATGCTGGGCCTCATGTGTGGCGATGTCCACCGGGCTCTGGCGTATACTCCCTTCGGCGCCCAGTCGCAACGGTCGTGCTGCAGGGGGCCTTGATTTACGTCCTCCATACCTGAATAGTGCATGATCGTGCTTCCGCTGCGCCGCCAAATCGTTCCTGGACTTGGCATCTGCTGCGCTGGCTGCCAAGTGGCTCAGGAATGTGGTCCGCTCCTTTCCGGCTGATTGCGGGACTGCAGGCCCCGACGAGGTGAGGAAAGCTGATATCGCCATGGCGCGCTCGAGCGGGTGCGCGCGCCACTCGATGAAGTCCTTGGCGTGCTGGCGCAGCTGTAGCTCAAAGTGTTGGGTGTCATCCTGTCCCGCTTCCCAATGTAGAAGTGCCGTATGTATTTCACCCACGAGCACGGACTTGGCGTGGCAGAACAACTTTCCTGGGCTGTCCTCGGTGGTCACCTTCTGTAGCTAGATGGACTCGGCGCGCAAGCCGCCTTGCTCTGACTAGGCCTAGGGTGACGGTCGTGATGTAAGGCTTGCGCGGCGCTCTGACCGCTGGGCCGAACGCTTGAAGCGCCGCGTCGTTGATCGTCTTGGTGGCCATCTCGCAGTGGGCGTTGAAGTCCTCTGCCCGCGGGATGGGGGGCGCCTGCTTCAGGATTGACTTGAATACTGCTTGCGCATCTGGGTCCTTGAGCTTGGCCATATCAGGTCTTGGTCCAGGTGACTGGTCGTGACCGTTGACCGTCCATTGAAGCGAAGCAAGTACAGGTGTGTGACCATCTGATGTGACACCGCGGTCTAGTCCAAGCTCTGTTGAGGATTCTGTAACAAACAGGGCCAGATCTGGCCCAACCATTCTGTAGTCTATTCTGTGCTTCTGACCCTGGAAGCCGACATGAGTGCATGAACGCCCCCCATTGTCGCAGGTAGTATTGAGGCCGCCATGCCAGTGGCTGCTGCGAATGGTATGATACGCTCCCCGTTGGCGTTCGTTGGCTCGGGGTAGCCCTGGGCTCCAATGCCTGGTGCCTCGTAGTCGCCAACGGGGCCGTTGAGGTCCACCACGAAGATGTCAACCTTATAGCGTCGCACTGCCTGGAGGGCCGCGTTCCAGCGGGCATCCTTGACTTCGACTGTGCTTTCTTCGTGGGGGGCGTGCGCTGATGCCACCGCCATCTCCGTGCTTGCCAGCTTGGTCTTCAGTATAAGTAGGCGCTCGTCCTGGTGCAGCGCGATGGCGTCCTTGGCGCTCCGGTACTATGGCTTTCCCTTGGTTGTGATCGGGGGCGCCACGTTGAGCCAGATATCACGCCCCCTGTTCGGGTTTGTGCCTCCTGAGCAGAAGCACGCGAAGTCGCCAATTGTGCGTGCGTCTGGAGTGGACTGCGTTTCCTGCAACGCGACGATGTGGAGCCATGTCCGAGAACTGCGACGCGAGATGCACCGACTTCGATACCGTAGTGATGCCTTTGCCCCGTCCTTTCCTTGTCTCGTTCTGGAATGGTACCTTGAGGGACTTGGAGTTGAATGTGCGCGAACTTAACTCCAGCGCTGCTTTGACGTTGGACTCCTTGATATCACGCATGAGGGTCAAAAGGTTGGCTGCGGGCTGCGTGGCCTCGATGGCAAAGGACTCGTCATGCAGCGGCGGGTACGCTAGTTTGCGAGATTCTGGTGCTTCGCGTAGCCACTCCCAGGATAAGTACCGATTAGC